GGGGGTGGGGGTGGCCAGGACAATGGGCTGGAAGGTCTGGGCAGTGATAGCCGAGACTTGTACATGGAGTCTGAGGGCGGCGACGGGTACATGGCTCCAGAGAACGGGTATCTCATGGAGGCGGCACCCGAGTGAAGAGGTCTTCCTCACCGCTTTGTTCGGATGTGTTCCTAAGCAGCCCTCACTGTCACCCTCTCCTCAACCTTCCTGGCCACCTCAGTTTGCCTCTGAGGGTAGGTGTTTTCTTTGTTCTGGCCCCTCGAATTTAAGAATAAAATTAATTTCCTGTTGGTCGGCACCTTTTCATCCTCACTACTTTAAACATATCAGGTTGTCATGGGATTGTTCTGCTTTGGCATCTGGTTTCCGGGTACACCTAGAGCTCGAGCTTAGTGGGCTGAGCTCTCCAGGACACCAGTGCTGCTTGGTAGTGGTGGGGTTGAGGGACTCGGGCTCCGTGTGAGCCCCACCCCTACCTTTGACCCTGTCTCAGGGATGGGAAGGAGGTACTGGATTACTGAGCAGAACCTTTTGAGTGTATGAAAGGGAAGCAAGAAGCTGGGTGAGGAAGTGAGAACTGCAAGGAATATGACTAAAAGAACAGGAAGCTTGGGATGGCCTGCAGTTCTGGGTGGGTTTTATTTCCTGCTTTCTAACAAGGAACGCTGAGCAGAAGCTGAAGGCCATCAGCAACTGAGATTTCAGCCAGTATCCAGACAGATTGAGACCTGAGTGAACACTTGAATGCGGTCATCACTGAGAAGGAAGCCCTAGGTCTGGAGAGAGGGTCAAGGCTGCCGCTTGGAGCAGAGTGGAGGCAGGGCATCGTCTTCTCTGACACTTAGGTTGCCTGGAGCTGGCCACTTGGCTCCTAGGCAGGCACAAGGAAGACCTAAGTCTGCCTCCATGCCAACTTTACCTGATGGGCCCTGAGGCAGCCTGGCAGGTCAATCTGTGGGAATCTAGTCTTTTTTTTTTTTTTAAAGAGCCTCAGTCTTAACCACACCAAAAATACTGAGGCATTTGAGGAAAAACTGCAACAAGACCCCCAAGATTTAAAGCAAATTCTGATCCTGGAACAATGATTCAGGAAAGAAATTTTTTTACTGGTACATTCAAGGTGACTGATGGTATGAGTTAATAGTACCTGTTCTGGACTAATCTGGCAGAGAGCAGTCATAACAAAGCCCAAACAAATCAACTTGTGGAACAACTGAAGGTCAGACCCAAGGGGGTGTGATGCGTGTGTGAGGACAGTGCACAGAGGGCTGCTCATCTATACTTGCAATTGGTTTGAGGGCACTCAGCAGTTTCGTACTGGGGAATCTGCTCCCAGAGTGCCCAGTTTAGAGGTAGAACTAGACAGGAGGGCACAACCTGCCCAGAGGCACTGCTTACCACCCTGGTTACTGCAAAGCACAGCCTTGCGCCTATGGCAAGGTGCAGCTTCACTTGGCAATGACAGCTGAGCAGACTGCAGCCCCTGTAAGTGCTGGGGGAGCCTGGCTAGAAGCTCAAGCCCTCCTGGGGGCAGTGCTGCTCAAGATGCAGGCTCCACAGAATCAGGCTACAGCTGGAATCCACTAGACTGAAGCCCAAAGCAACTCCTCACCAGGGTTCTGCCAACAAACTTGCTAAAAAGGCCCTGCCTACTTCAGAGGAAGAAATAATTCAGGCTCATGGTTTTCAGTTCATAGTGCTCAGCCATCTACTCAGAAGGTACCAGGCACACTTAAAAATAGCTCTTAAATTGCAGGAATCCAAGAAGTTAAACTGGTTCAAGGTAGACGTTGGGAGTTGAGAATGAAATAATTCATATTGTCACAAAATAGGGAAAAGTAGAATTTTAGCATCTGGATTCTCAAGTTGAAATTCTAGAACTGCAGTTAACTTGTAGATTTAGCAGCTGGGTACTCTTCTTATTTTAAACACTAGAGGAGCTAGGAAAGGTAGACTGTCTTGAAAATAAGACACAATCATTTGAGGAATTAACTGAGAACATACTTCACCAAAATGAGGGGTTTAAAAAAGATTCGATCCAGGAGAGACAAGGTAGGTCCCAAGATGGCAGTTTCTGGAAAGCAGGTGAGCCTAGATGGAGGCAAGAGAACTGAAGTTTTCAAGAAGTTTCAGGATAAAAAGATTCGGTACGATATCATGCCAGAGACTTGAAAGAATGTAGGGAAAAATAAGGCTGCTGCCGGGGCACTCTGCACTGACTGGGAGAAAGTGCACGAGGACCCAAGCCTGTGCAGGTGGAAGATGTGACAACCTTCAGATGACCAGCTTTGTGTCCTGGAGGTGTCTGCTGAACTCATGGGGAGGCTACAGCTTCAGAGCCACTGGCTGGAAATGAGTGCCTTCCTAGGGCAGTGCCCATGAACAGTGGAAAGAAAGGACAGAAGCCTATGCAGCCTGTTAATGAATCAGAGCCAACAAAATGAGAGTTCCTAGAAACAAAAAAAGCAAGGAGCTGTTGACACGCAATGTAATCTAATCTCTCACTACAGGGCAGTGACAATATTGTAGGCTGACAGCCTGTGAGCACTTAAAACTAAAAGCTTCCAACTTCAGAATTCTCAGGGACATAAAAGGGTAAGAATAGAAACATATTAAATCAGGAAATAGCATGTTATATATTTAAATACAAAAGTAACATCTGTAAGTTTTTTGTTTTTTTTTTTTGATAACAGTCTTGCTATGTAATCCAGACTGACTTCCTGCCTCAGCCTCCCAAGTGCTGAGATTACAGATGTGTGCCACCACATCTACCTCTTTTTTTATTTTTTTTTTCACATCTACCTCTTGAAGGAGGTAAAGTTGGAGGTACAGGAGCTAGTGGGTTTATTAGCCCTTACTGGTTGTTTACTTTTTAACTATACATGACTTCGCAAGGCCCAGCTACTAGTGAGACTAAAGTAGGATTGCACTTCAAAGCCAGCCTGAGGAGCTAAGTTCAAAGTACTGTACCAAACACACTATAAAAAATAAAAACCTGAAAAATAAAAATCCTGAGCTGGCCAGACAAGCCAGCCTGCCATAGTCCTATCACTGCTGTGTAAGCAAGCTACAATCCCATCCACCTCTCCCGAAAGCCCATGCACAACAGGCCAACTTTCACAAGTCTTGCCTACATTTCCTGGCCTTCCTCAGCCTCTCTAGAGCCCTTCTATTCCTATAAACGCAGGCTCCTCCTACCAGGGACTATTCCCAGGAGCTGGGAGCTGCAGGGTGCTGTCCTAAGGCCCCTGCTCCCTGTTACTGCCCTCCCTTGTCCACTCAGGTTTTATTTCCCACCTGCTGTCCCAGCTCCCCAAATTGCCAGAAGGCCACAGGCTCAAATTCAAAATATCTGCTACCCTCTTCTGGCAGGCCCACCGCTGCCCACAGGGCATCTGGCCAAGGCCTGTCACTTGCCTCATCTGCCTGCAAGCCAAGGGGAGCTTTTGGGGGCAGCCTGTACCTCCTGCCACTACCTCCTCTCTAAGCAAGTCTCCATGGTGGACACAGCAATCCTAAATTACGAGCTGATGATCACAGTCCTCACCTAGGAGTGGGGGTGAAGTCCCACATCCTCACCGTGCAGACGCCTACATGCAAGGCCACGCACAGACGATCTGCCAACTTCTGCATCTCCCTCCTAGCTGCACTCTGCTCTTTCGGCTGTTACCCTCCCTCAGGTACTGGGGATTGAACCCATAACCTTCCGAATGTTTGGCAAATGCTTTAGCACTGAGCTACATACACCTTCAGTCCTTTTTATTTTTATTTATTTATTTGGGGGGGTACTGGGGATGGAACTGGGGATCTTGAGCTTGTGAGGCAGGCGGCGGCACCACTGTGCTAAATCCCCGCCCCCAGCCCTTTTTATTTTTAAATTTCTGAGCCAGGGTCTCCTAAATTGCCCGGGCTGGCCTTGAATTGGTGATCTTCTTGCCTCGGCCTTTGAAGTAGCTGGGATTACCGGCAAGCTCCACCACTCCCACCTAGGCCCCACTCTTTGTGGATCTTACCTCTCAGGACTGTCAGTGCCCCTCCTGGAGGATTTCTCTCAACTCAGATCAGCTCTCACTCTCGTCTTAACCATAGCGTCGCTGACTGTCACCCCCTAGACGAGGAGCCTCTCAGGTAACGGTCTTGTCTGCCCTGCTCACCATCGTGGCTTGCCCGCTCGGGGACTTTTGAATGTGGAAACCTGAGGAAAGGACGGGGAGGGGATGGACAGGTGCAGTAAACAGGATGGAG